GGGCGAACTCCAGCTATTATAAGAGTTCGGATGGACTCTTCTGGTGCGTGAGCCACTTTGTTGAGCTCCCTGTGGAACAATCAATATAAGACTGCAGATTCGTCTCTCTCTTGCCTTATATTGCTGGGGTAGCTCATAGGCATTGAAAATTTTCGTTTGGCTTGGAAATGCCGGAGGAACGTTGTGCTCATCTGAGCCCACAACCGATAGATCCCCCGGGAGCGACCTAAACCAGCGCTTGGCATGAGATTCAGTGTCACGGCCAAGCAGCGGCACTTCGCAGGTCCGAAACCTGTGAGCCCATCAGGTCGTTGAACTCATATAAATGATCCTGCGGATCGTAGTTTCCATCGAACGTCGCATATCTGGCATTCTGAACCCTGGTGGAAGCGGGGCAGCTAGTACTTCAGGAGAAAACGGGGATATAGAGGCGACCTACGCCTGCTCGTTTTGTGCTCCCTCAGCCTATCCAGAGCTCGCGAGCTCCTCAATCTGCGTAAAGGAGCCAATGGGGGCGTTTTCACCCATGCGAGCCCGGCCCTCTCGGTTGCGGTTCAGAGAGTTCGAGGTCGGATTCCTCCTCACCTCGGCCCGCATTTCCAGCCGCCTCGACACAGCTCGACTAGAGACGCGTGAAGGGGTGGTGATAACGCGGGGCGCTTTCACGACCCTCGCGTTGGTACGAACCGCCCCGCGAGGTGTGGTGGCCACCCATGAGAGAGTGGGGATCGTTGCTGGTGGTGATCGGAATCGTCGCGCCAGCATTTTCGCTCGGGTTTTGTTTGCGACGTGGCGTGGGACAGCTCGGGTTCACTTTTTCGCCGAGTCTTAATTTTGCCGATATCCTGCTCGGGGCGCCTTCTGACTTGCTGCCCTTGGGAGCTCGGAGGCTTGCTTTTTGCCACTTGCTTACCCTTGCGCTTCGCGCTGCAGTGCTCGCGGCACGTGCTATTTCCCTCTGCCGTGCTTTCGCGCGGCTTGCAGGCATTTTTGGCGGTTGCACGCACCGGCTGTCGCGGACGACATGCCTTGGTCCAGACGGTCCAGCCTCTGTTTGACCGTCTGGAGAGTATTGTCGAACCTCTCCAGGTAGCTCGAATGACAGGGTCCAGTTGCGGACCGTTGGGGTATTCCCAACAGCATTTTGCGAAACTGGAGGTACGTTGGAAGGGGTGCCCCTCTGGGCTGGGGGGACTCCTTCTGCATGTTGATTCCCTTGCTCAGGTTCAGATTGGCGGGCCATTGTAGCTGTAAGCCAGTAGGTCAAAGGTTTTCCTGATAAGGACAGACGCTAAATCAGGCCCTCCTTCTAGCGCCAAACTGTTGATGCTCGATTTGCGCACCAACCATTGTCACGTGGGTGACACTGTTTTAGAATTTTATCTCGTGACAATGGATGCCTTTTACAGAAATAAATGAGGGCTTTTTAAGTGGTTCGGATGCTAAGGTAGCAAATCCTACGTCCACTGTTGTATTGATGTTGGTGTGGGTCAGGTCGCTAAGCGACTGACGTACAAAAGTTAATGAAAGTACTTTGGTGTGGTCAGGTCGCTAACGCGACTACACAAAGAGTTAATGAAATACTTTGCCCTTAATTTTTACAAGAGAGAGAGAGTTATCTCTGGGTAATGAATGAACCCACCCCCTTAATGGTGAGGTTTTCTACATTTTATATCGAATTGAAGCGTGTAATCATCATTAAATCTACGGGTTGGTGTGATTGTCAGGATATCATCTATCTTCACGTCCCGTTTTCCCTTTTTCCAAGCTGACTTTGCATGACTTGCTGCAGAGAGACGGACGCGTGTGAGCTCCATTTTTTATTCGCAGGTCTGACGTGCCACATTGTCCTGACGGGGGCAGTTACTCCTGACGCGACTCCTTCCACGTCAGCTCTTCATTTTCCGTGCATACCATATAATTGTTCCTTTTGATTTCATGAAAAAAATTAAATAACCATTCGTTTTTTTTTCATTTTTTACAAGTAAATAATTAAAGGACATGTTAATTTTCTTATAAATAAAATAAAAAATTGTTATTTTTTATTTCTTTTTATACTTTGTTTTTTTTTGTCAATAACTAATAATTAATTAACATAATTATTCTTTTCAATTTTATAAATAAAATAATCAAATAATAATTCCTTTTTCTTTAATTTTTTTAAAATTTTAAAACAACCATTTTTTCTATAAATAAATAATATCATTCCTTTTCTGTTTTATTTTTCATAATACACCTTATGAATAAAAGAATTGTAATTATGTTTGATCATTTTTTTTTTTTTTAATTATTGGGGTGTCCAGACCAGTTTACACGCATTTCAACTAACCTTTCGAGGTCTTGGAATTGTCAACCTGATAAAAGCCCCAATGACCACCCATATTAGTATCGAGAGAGAGGCTCAAGCTCAAAAACTCATAAAATCTCATTTCACTCTTTTACTATTAGCTTATGGTTTGTTTGATCAAAATTTATTGATTGATTTAAACAATATAAAAATAAAAAAGAATTATTCTATTTATTTTTTACTTTAAAAAAAAGGTCACATATAACCCAGTTTTTTATTAGCTAAAACAATCATAATTTAAAATTTAAGCCAACATAAAATGTAATTTCTTAACTTTGTTGGGGGAGCGTGGTCGTTTAATAGTTCAGGCTTGTTTGTTCTTTGTTAAGTATGACTAACAACTAATATAAGCTAAAAGAGCAAAATAGTAAAACAACGATCAGCCGCTAGAGAATTTCAGATAGTGCCTCGGCCCTCGCATGTGGTGAGTGAAATTAAAATAATACTAGATATAGAAAGAAATCTTAAAAAGATTTTTACACAAAGTGATGTGATAGAAAATGAATGAAATAATGAATATAAAAAGTCAAATTTATCATATTCACTCTTCCATTCATTTTTTGTCATATTACTTTATATAAAAATCTTTATAAGATTTATTTATACATATAGTATTACTCATGAAATTAACCCAATATGAGGATTTGACTATTTGAAAAAAATAACCAAATCCCATGTTTGGGTGCATTTTATGGGGGGTGCACCATATTTTTCCACCCAAAGTTTGCCCTAATAAAATTGACTACCTAAAAAGTTTCAAAATAACGACAATTATTCACTTACCGTTAGTTTCTGTCCGTTAAGTATAACTAGAGAAGGTAAACTTAGAGAAGGATAAAATGGTAAATTCAAAATCAAGTAAAAAATAATTATGCCACTTTACCCCTATATATAACTAAATAAATAAACCCTACTCGATCTTCTTCTCATCTCCGCCTCATCCCATCTTCATCTTCTTCATCTCCCCATCCGTCCAAATTGCACTAGCCGGCATGATTCCAACCAAATAAATTCAATTTTTTCATTTTTTTTTCAAATTTTCATTTTTTTATGTGTTTTCTTTTATTTGGTAAATTTGCTTAATATAAAAAAAAGTTGATCATGTGACGTTTGTGATTTTGGTTCTTGCTGCTCTCGGGATCCTCTCCATGCCAAGCCATTCCGCCGAGTTGTCGAAAGCAAACGATCCCAATACGATTCAACAAAATACGAAGTACGTGTTTCGGTATATTGTTTTGATATATACCGTAGAGTGGTGGAAAAATGATGGGATGGGGGAGCAATGGGTTGAGGTGATTTTTTAGTTGAGACGTAAGATAAATTTGATTATGGAGTTTAGATGGAGGATGAATTTTGAATGTGGTGTTAAGATGGGGGATGAATTTCAATTGTGTTTGAATTAATGGGAGGTGATTTTTTTGGGCGAATCTGGATGTATTTGGGTTAGAGTTTGAATTAATGGGAGTTGTTAGTTTCCGCAAATCTTGGTTGAATGAAAGGTTGCAGTAGTCATTCACTCGAATAGTTCATGAGCATCCCCTTAAGCATGCTGTTATTCCGATTTTACCAAATTTCTCCATCTGCAACTTTCGCTTCATCTCTTTAAGATGCAAATTTTTGTACAATCTTTTTTGTAAGATTTTTGTGAAATCTGTTTTGAAAGACTTCTTTAAATTTTGTTGCAATAAACATTAAGTTTAACTTTTTTTATTAATTTGATACTAATTTTTTATTAATTGAAGTTGTTTTAATAATGATGGGTTTATGGATTAATTTAAATTAATGATGAATATTGAAGATTATTTTTTAAATTTATTATTTAGATAATTATTAATAAAGTTAAAAAGGATATTTCATTGGTCAAATGCAGTCAAATTTTAATAAATAAAAAATTAAATCAAATAATAAATGATATTTTTATCTTTATAGTGAATACACACGGTAATTAACGGATTTTACTAACAAATCAAGCCTGTGGATGGGAAAGTGTAGTTCTAAAATTTTTCAGGTATTACATTGTCTTTGGAGCAAAGTTTGGGTGGAAAGATATTTTTAAGGATTTGTACGATATAATCAAATCCTGATTTTTTTATTTATCCAAAATTATTGAGATAAGGAATTTCCTGAAGAGCCATAGGACTAATTATCTCAAGTTCGGGCTAACTTCTTTATTATTTACATTAGATATTATATTTATAGTACTTATTTATAATTTATAATTAATATTTAAATATTATTTTGCAAAAGTATCACTAATAAATATCTTATCCAATGAATTTTTTCCTATCATTATTCCTCATCAATTATAATTGTAATCGTTTAATAATAATAATAGTAATAACTTGATTTTATTTTTACAAAAAAATTAATAAAATTCTTTGTCTTTGAATTAATACATTTAAGCGATTGAAATTTGATGTAAGTTTTATGTCTCATGATTAATTGCTCAAATGAAATTTCATCTAAGTTTTACCATTAAAATTAACAAAATGCATTATATATATATATAGGTATCTAGAGTATCCGGACCAGCTTACACACACCTCAATTAATTTTCGAAGTCCATTGAACATCTTACTAACCTAAAAGACCAGACAAACCATAATATAATTGTAATAGGTAATCTCAAGGTTTGAACCTAATAACTCAAGAATGAGAACAAACCTCTTTAACTGCTAAGCTAACCCCTTAGGGTTAATTGCATTTTCATATTCTACATTCAAATTGTTTTGATGTCAATAATTCAAAAATTAATTGAAAAACTATCCCTCAAAGAAATAGAGAAAATAATAATAGTAAAAGAAATATGTTTGGAAAAACTATTTATGAAATTCCTAGATGGCCTTTTTATTAATTTTGTTACATTTTAAATTCCCCTATCAATGATATGACATCATCCTTCATCACTTACTCGGGCTTTCGACATGTGATAATTGCAAACTTTATTAAATCCTTCTTGTATCCTTCAATCATCAACGGCATTGCCAATGCTCCTTTTATGGTTTTTAATCCTGACCATTCAATTCAATCACTAGAATCATTTCTAAAGCATCACAATGAAATGAATCATAAGAGTTGCTGCAAAACAAAGTTAAACTTTACCACTACGCAACAGTGAAGTAAGGCCCTTCCATGTCAATGCTGAACGTATCACAGCTGGCCAGAATGGGGCAACATACTGAGACCAATCTTCTGCTTTTATATCCTGCCACTCAAATCATCATAATTCCATTTTTTTTTTTTTTTTTAATACAATATCATTAGGATGCATCATTTAAGTCATGAATCTTGAGAAAACCAATCATTTTTCATGTGGGTTTATTTATTCAAGTAAAAACTCATTTCAGTAGAGGATTTTTGGTCGTCTTTTTTCTTGAAGAATGCCCAAGCAAACAATAGGAAGTAATTGTGATTACCTGGAGAGAAAGAGATTCTAACAACTTGACATAATCAGCAGTAGAACACCAGGCTGGAAGATAATAAGCATCACATATCTTATTCAGTAGTTCTTCCTCCCATGGCTGCAAACTCTCCTCAGAAGGCCCAAGATCCCTGTGGCACCATGTCACTATTATTATTTTACCTCCTGGTGATGCAACTCTAGCCAACTCGTTCACAAACTGCTTGTTTCAAAGGCACAGGGACAAAATTCAGTAAAATATGCCACTATCTTATTCACTTCAACAAACCAAACTTAAAAAAAAAAAAAAATATACATTTATGGGGTCATCGTTTTACGATCAGGTACAGATCCAAGAAACTAATATATTATAAATTTGAAGAAAAGTATATGAGTAGGCTCAAATTTGAAAACATTATTATAAATAAAACTTGGTCAAAACAAAAAAAGCAAACCAAATTAATGAAGAAAAGTTTCTGATGGGGTCACCACTTACCAGCCCCCACTAATGAGTATATAGGTCTGTCCATGTTTATGACGACCGTATGCCGTTGCATATCCATTGGCAAAAGCCTTCTACAATGGATTTACAACGACAATCTACTACCGCAAAAGGGTTTTTGTGTGTGTGACTAAAGAATATATGAAACAATATAAAACAAAACCTTGGTTTTATCAGGCATGTGTTCACCACTCTCCATGGACCAAACAAGATCAAATTGGCCATCAGGAAAAGGTTGATCCAAAGCATCTGCAACTTGAAAGGAAACCTGCTAATTCTTCAAGTGTTACATCCACAACCACAAGCATGAAATTTATGTATAGAATGAAGAAAAATAATGGAAGTTATAGTTACCCTGTCAGCTAAGCCTTGAGCAGAAGCAAGTTCATTGCCTCTTTGAGCTTGAATAGGACTAAGAGTAATGCCTTTGCAATTAGCCCCATATTTCTTAGCTAAGTATCTAGAACTGCCCCCAATCCCACACCCAACATCAGCTACACTCTTTGGCCATTCGCTTGGATCTTCTGCATTTCAATTCAAATCAACTTTTACAATCTTTTATATCTTCAAAGAAAAACTCCAGTAGCTAATAACTTTAACCTGCAGCATCTCAAATTCTTGTTCATAGAAATCCAAATTTAATGCTCCCGGGCTATAAGTATTCTTATGAAGGTCATCTTAAAATGATGTTTAACACTTTCTTTTTTTAATTAGAAAAAAAGAAATCAAAAGTATAATTAAAAAAAATTTAAGATATCTATTTTAAAAATTAAAAACACAACAAACTTAGAAAACGTTAATTATAGTATTTCATATCATAAAAAATACATACATATATATATATCCTATTTTCACTAGAATTTTTCTCAGAAACAATTTCAAAAATTGAGAACACAAAATTAACCTTTTTATATTCAATTTCGGATTTATTTTTTAAATAAATACCTTAGCATCTGATTTTTCAAGAAAAAATTCTTATACAGAAGTACTTAAAAAACACTTATGAAAATGTTTAAATTACAAAAAAATAAATAAAAAATAAAAACTGTTTTATATAAAAATCTGCTACCGAAACGTCCTTCCGAAATATCTTATCCAAAGCACTTCACCAAATAAAAACTAACCATAAAATATATCCACTGTTAATGCTTATCTGTAATAATAACATCAATCATCAAAATCTGTTAAACCCTAAAGTTTAGAGGAAGATTAACTGAAACCGACCCGAAACGCCGGCGAACCGGAGCGCCTCCTCGATCATCCGGACCTGGGCGGCCCGGTGATCCGAAACCGAAACAGTGGAATCCGGATCGTAAAATCCGTGGTGCATGTGATGGCCCCATATATCTTCCCATAACTTAGACGACTCGTCGTAGAACTCAGCTATTCCTTGCTGCAACTCACGTGCGTCACTGGTAGTCGTCGCTGTCACGCGCGTCAGTAATCTGGAGAAGCTCACTGAAATTTGGAGTGCAGCTCGTGACGCCCACGTGGCGGTAGGAGGAGGAGGAGGAGGGTGAAGTGTGGTTGGGCACGTGCGGGAAGGGAGGAGTGGGGACGGCAGCGGAGAAGAACGGAGCCACGTGGACATGGTTTATTGGATGGAGTAAGTTTATGTTTGCGTGGACGGAGGAAGGATACAGGTGTAGTGAGTTTTGACGAATCAATAAGCGGTCGGGAAATAAATACAATTACTTTGAGGGCAGTGCGTTGGGCCGTTTGCTTTTGAAATTGGATTTCGACATATTGTTTATAATTTGGATTGTTTATTTATTTATGAATTTTATGTGAAAAAATAATTTTTTATTGTATGTAATTCTTGATATATTGGATAATAAAATTAATAATTGTAATTTTTTTCATTATTACACATTTATATATACTTATTATTTAATCCAATTTGTTAAAATTAATTATGTCAAATATATTTAATTCAAAATGTTATTATTAATTATAGTCTTTTTTGAATTGGACATTTTTAAATTAACTTTAACTTGTTATTTTTTTGGACTGGATAGTAATGCTCTTTCGGTTGTTGGGCTGGGTTTTATTTCAACTTTTTTACTGCTGTATGAATGTTTGGCTGTGTTTTATTTCAAATTTGTTTACTATTTATTTAGGGTATTGTTTAATACATTGTCATCATCTCTACATCGCTGTCTTGTGTTTCTGTTTTTGTTTCTTCCACTACTGTTTTTTGTTTGTTTAAAGCTTTGGCAGTATCTAAACAATATTTTGTAAGAATGTAAATAATATTTATTTCGTCCATTTTTCTTTTTTTGTTTGTAACTCTTTGTTTTTTGTTCTTTTTTTATTGTTTGATTTGTTTATCTGTGGTTTATATTATATGTGTAGCTTTGTTTGATATACATTAGATAATGACAGTGAGGATTAGGTATTTTTTGGGGCTTTTACAGTTTTGCAAGATTGATTTTTGAAATTTGATTGTAGCATGGAGATCTGAAATAAATGGTTGAAGAAAGTGAAGCTTTATTTGGTTTTTTTTATTGTTTGGTTATTGTACGGTTGTTCATATTATATTGTAAAGCTGTTTTTGATATACAGCGGAGAATTAGAGTGATGATTAAGTATATGTTTGGGCTTTTATAGTTTTGCAAGATTGATTTTATATTTGGCTTTTGTTTTTGTTATGGTATTGTTGATAGCATGTCAACCTCAAATCAAGCGTCAAAGAAAGGAAAGCGCCCTGTTAATGTTAATCCTAGACGCTTTGTTCGTTTTCACGAAACAAATCTTGAAAAGTGAAATGAAGATATTAAGCGTCTTTTTGACTCTGCTGTTTATAGTGAAAGTGAAGAAAAAGATCAACGACTAGGATATGTGATTACAGAGAGTTTTCAATCCAATAGGAAAAACAAAAGTCTGGAATAGAAAATTGATTACTTGATTGAACTAATAGAAAGTAAACAAAGCAAGCTTACTTCTCTTGATAATTCTTGTACCTGTCAATTCAAATACCAAAGTTATATTTTAATTGGTAGAAAGAGGTATTATCAGCATAGTTGTAAAAGTATTAGTTTTATATGGATTTTTATTATTGTATTGATTTAATTGTTTTATTTATTTATTTATTTTTGATGTTGTTTTGTTAAACAGATTGAAATCTTAACTCAAGAGAACCATAAACTTGTTTTAAAGCTAGAAAACTTGCTTGGTAAACTTGAAGTGGTATGTTTGTTATGACTTTTATATTTATCTGATTTACTGAATTGTTTTTATTCGGGATTCATGTTTTTTAATTAGGGACTACTTTATCCTTATACACAAGATTTTAAGACATTATTGCCCTTGTGCTTCAACCAAATTGTCCAAGACCACAACCGGATCCAGCCACCATCACTGGCCGCCAGTCACTATCACTGACAATCACCGAAACGATGCACGACCGCTCAGATCATGGATCTGGTCATTTCTTTCCAGCCAAATCCATGGGGATTTGGTCAGAAACAACCAGATTGACGCACGGTTGGCCGACAATCATCTTGGTTGGTTGGGGGTGTTTTGACTGATATTTAAACTTTTTTATTGCAGTTGAAGTGTTTTAGCAAAATCTCAAATGTAGGGGATTAAAAAAATAATCAAATTATTATAATAATATTAAAAAAGAAAGGCAATTCGGTAATTTACAAAACATATCCACTAATTTATTCCTCACAACCAAACACATCTGGCCATAGAAACGGCCATCTCTGGCTGTTTTCGGCCATGAATCTAGATCCATGGCAGAAAACGGCTAGATCTAGCCATTTTTATGGCCATTTCATGACCACATCTAGCCATAGAAACGGCCAGATTTGACTGTTTTTGGCCATGAATCACAGATCCATGATCGAAAACGGTCTTACCGACCAAATTTTGCAGGCCGTGCACCATTATAGTTACTGCCGTTCAGCACCGACGGTGATGGTTGGCTGCTAGCAATGGCTTGGGGTGGATGGGAGTGATTTTACTATAAATTAAAGTTTCATATGGCTGAGCTGTTTTAACAAAATTTCAAATGTAGAGGTTTTAAAAAAAGATTCAAAAAATAATAATAAAAAAATATTATATTAATATTTTAAAAGGAGGGCAATTTAGTAATCTATATAATATACCCACCTATTTACCTCCCAATCAAACATATTAATATAACATACCTACCAATTTATTCCAAACTAACCAAACACATTTCTTTAAACATTCCCAGTAATTTTCAAAGTAATATATCTTTCTATTAATATAAAATACCCAATAATAAAATATTATATGAACCAAACACACCCTTCATGTAATCTTCAAGGTAATCTATTTTTATGTTAATATAACATTCTCGATAATACAATATTTCCTAAACCAAACACCCTCTACTATCTTTTCCATTCCTCTTCAGTAATTTTTGGGGTTCGGGAAGTTAAAAATTTCAAAACAACACAAAAAAAACTTTCAATTTTGCATTTTGGGAAACTTATAATTTTACCAAAAACTTTTGAATACTTAGAACATCTCCAATGATGTTCTTTATTTTGAAGAGCATCTTCATTAATTTTTAAATATAAAGAACATAATTTTTATTCAAATCCAATAAACTCTTTAAATTTAATGAAGATCTCTTTATTTTTAAGAAGAGACTTAATGGAGAGAGAATTAATAAATAAAATACATAGGAACTTGTAATTTATTAATTAAAATTAGAATAGAAAGTGAAATTTAACTCTTTAAATGTGGAGAGTCAAACTCACTCTCTAATTTATATTTTAAAGATAAATAGTCTGTTAGACTCTTGTTTTTATGGATAGACTCTTTATAATAAAGAGTTTAGATAATATAAAGAGTCATTTGGAGATGCTCTAATCTCTTAGGGCTCTTTATATGAGTCAAACTCTTTATTATAAAGAGTTAATGCATAAAAACAAGAGTCCAATGTACTCTCTATTCTTTAAAAATAAATTAAAGAGTGGATTTGACTCTCCACATCTAGAGAGTCAATCTCACTCTTTATCATAATTTTAATTAATTAAATTACAAGTTTCAATAAATTTTATTTATTGTTTCTCTCTCCTATTAAGTTTTTTTTTTTTTTTTTTAAAAAATTTTTCCTCCCACCACGATGGTCTTTTGAATTTCTATATATTCATGTTCTGTTTTCTTTTCTCTAAAATCATAAATGCTTTATATGAAAATTCAAAATAAAGAGTCAATTGGACTTAAATAAAATTTTTGCTCTTTATATTTAAAAATCTATAAACATGCTCTTTATTTATAGGAAATATGCTCTTTAGAATAAATAGCACCATTGGAGATGCTCTTACAATACTAAATATAAAATTTGAGGTAAGTTCAGCTGTCCTTGTTTTTTTATACAAGTTTTGGCAAAAATTTGTGTCCATTAAATCAAACTTTCAACATCAAAGTTTAGATAGTATTTATATAAAAAAAAAATAAAAAAGCAAAAATGAAACAAATTGTTTTGTGATTTTGTGATTTTATTTTTTAACAAGATTGAATTGAACATGCAAGGATATAATTCTTTATTAGATTTTATGAGAAGAGTATTATTAGTATTATTTTATCATCTTGTAAAATGGAAGTTTTATGTATATATAACAAACATTATATAAATCAAGATTCGATTCAATAGAAAAATATTATCAAAAATAAAAATTGCTCACAACCTATAAGAAATATTCCTGATCAAAATATTTCTTTTAAATTCATTTTTTCTCAATAAGTCAACAAAAAAAAAAATTGTCTTAGTTTTATTTTTCATTGTCATTTAAAATTTGTAGATTGAGCTTATTATAATAATTATTTTATTAAATATAATTAAAAAAATCCTGGGCCACAACGCTACTTTTTCTTGCCATTTTTCACCTGAAATATTTGACTATAATTGGATGCTGCAATAATACTAATACTACTCATCTTAAAATTTATCACAAATTTTAAATCCTGAGTGACATGTCATTATATAGGACATTGCAATATATATAAAGTAATGACAATACCTATATGATGACACATATTTAAGATTGTGAAATTTGGGACAATAAGTGTTACTCTTAGATGTTGTTATGTGCTTAAGTGTTTTAGTTCTTTTATTTTTTGTTCTGTTATGTGGTAGGTGACCTTAAGATTCAAACTTAAGAACCATAAGAACTCAATGAAAGAAACAAACTTCTTTGATCGCTAGACTAACATTTTGAGGTTAACTCTTAATGATTAACAAAAAAAATCATTTCTCATCATAACCGTTAATTGATTGATAACGAAAAGAATAAGGGAGAGCGGCATTTTTCCACCCAAAAAGAATAATATAAAAGCGATAATAAATAATAATATCTTATCAAAACGCCATTTGCTGAAAAGATTTAAAACACGCTCACATTTTTGGACTAACTATAGTAATACATTTATTAAATAATAGTAATAAGCCAAAGCCTAACGGCACCTCTAGAAACAACTACTTTGGGAAATGAAATCACGCTTTTTATAGTATGCAAAGCAGATCCAAGTTATCACATTTCATAACATTTTTATTCACATTTTCAAGGGCCTTTTATAAAATATTTATTGAGCTTTTATGTACACAATCTTTTTTTTTTCTTGTTGATGTTAGTTTTTGACACCAACAACCTCGCACCTATAAAGTGCTAAGAAGGGCTTAGAAATTATATGTGATTAATTGAGGGTTTGATTAAAAGTCAAATGTTTTCACAGTAGCATGCAAAGACTTAAT